CCTGAAATTTATTTTTTATTTGAAGTTCTTCTGACATTTTTGACAGTTTGTTGCATGAATACCACCAGTGACAGGGAGCTCACCACCTCTTGAGGCAGGATGTACTACACTGGGCTGGAATCTGCCTCCTGTTAACCTCTCCCACTGGTCTAGTACTTCCTCTGAAATTGATAAATGTTCCATTCATGCTTCTTTGTGGCAGTCCTTCATATGCATGTGGACAATGATTGCATGTCTTCAAGGGGTCCTAAAATAACAAGGATTCTTTTGTTGTGATCACATATCAACACTAAAAAGTTACACTTAGCCCTGCCTCTCTGGATGGTTTCAGGCAACTTTACAACAAAGGACGGATCTTCAACAGGGTGCCATCTCCGTCCTTGGAAGCCGGATGACTCACTCTTCTTATGCAGATGCTCCTCCAGAAGGAAAAGCAGGGAAAAACCGAGGCCAGACCCCTATCATTCCCGGGTTTGAGGCAAGTCACCCAGGGCAGAAGGCTTCCGTTGCAATGGTGTTGGTTTTGTTTTTGTTTCTTTTTTTTTTTTCCTTAAGAAACTGATGTTTATTTTCCATCAACCTATTTCCATGTTGTGCGAGAGCCTGTGGAGGAGCAGCTTACTTAGTTCCTACCCACTCAGGGCCGGAGCAGTGGGGGCTGCAGACCAGCCCCTTGGGGCGAGCGCTCCAGGCTTCAGCCGGGACCTGCTGAGCAGGCACAGAGGCGCCTGCACGCCTGCAGTCCGCACCCTCCCGCCCGGTAGCAGTGCGCTCAGGAGCTGGAGCAGTCCTTTCTCCCTGATATTCCTCCTTGGCCACAGCCTTTTCAGCAGCAGCCTGCTCTTCCTTTCCACTATCTTCAGAATCTCTGTAGAAGGAGAGATCAGGCATGACTCTCCACGGTGTTCATGGGCGACGGTGCCACGAATGCACAGAATTCCCGGGCCAGCATCCACATCAGACCCGCTGAGGGAGCTCCCGTGTTGCATGGCATGGTGCCGTGCAGAGGGGAACCTGTGCTGCACGGAGCAATGAAGGCAGGTTAACACACGACACTTCTGTGGAAGACCAGTGGTCAGCCCTGGGGTCAGTAACCAGAAGGTGTGGGTCCCAAAATACTGGCCCTGGTTAGCGAGGGCTCCGGGAGTGAGGCGGCCAGCAATAGGAGTGGCTCCGATGGCAGCAGCAAACTGCATGGCCGGTGTTCCTGGAGGACAGGAGGCTGACATCAGCAGGCACAAACTGCCAGCAAGAGCTTCTCCCAGGTCCTCTTAGGATTTATGATGCAGATGCCATTGCTTTTCCTTCTGTAGATGTATTGTTCCATTTGGAAGTCAAGGTTGGCACCACACACGTGAGTTCATGCTGCAAGGAATTTGAGGACATCCTCCTCCATTTGCAGGACATCAATGGCTCTGGACATTGCGAAAGTGTCCCCTTCTGTTACTACGAGAACCCAGAACAGTGCTGCCTGCTGCGAGCGCATGCGGGCCCCTCTCTGGGTAGCAGGAAATAGCAGGTTTTTTTTTTTTAAGGTACAGCTGAATTCACGACCTGCATCTCACTGTCAGGTTCCTGGGTGTCTACCCTCTGCAGCGCCAGCTGGTGGGAAGTTTATGCTGTCAATGGAAAAAGCCAAACTCTGTAAAATAATTTTAAAGAGATTTATTCTGAGCCAAATTTGAGGACCATGACCCGGAGCCACTGCCAAGAGGCCTTGGGCAAGTGGACTGGCTGTGGCTGGGTTACAGTTTGGTTTTTATACAGTTTAGAGACAAGGGTTATGGGTAAAGCCATCAATCAACGTGTGGGAGGCATACATTGGTTTGGCCCAAAAAGGAGGGCCATCTCGAAGGGGGGGAGGGGCTTACAGGTTATAGGTGGGTTTAAAGATTCTTTAGATTGTAATTGGCTAAAGACAGGAAGCTTTGTCTAAAGACGTGGAATGTTTTAACATAAACTGTTTACTAGAGATAAGCCACCATTTGTTGCAAATTGAGGGCCTGCAGGTTTGTCTTGCATACCCTTAGGCCTGTTAATGGGTTACAAAGGAAGTCTCCAAGAAGGGAGGGGGGCATGATAAGGCCTGTCTGACCTCCCTCCTCCTGGCAGGCAACTTTGCCCTTGAATATTCCTCTGGCCACTAGGGGGTCCATTCAGTCAGCTGGTAGGGGTTGAGCATTTTAGTTCACAGTTAAGATATTTTAAATTTATGATAGGCAACTGCTAGGATGCTTGAGTTAAGACAGGGGCTTCCTATCTTTTAGATGATGTTAATGCCATACCAGAATCAGGTTGGGAAGTAAACCATTGCTTTATTTGGTTAACAAAAGCCGCTTAGTAGGAATTTACCATTTGTCAGCCTAACCCAGCTGGCCTCCTTAGGAAAGAGTTTTTAGCAAAAGAAAAAGATCAGAGTTCAGTCCTCAGTGTCCTCCCAGGTATATGATACCCAGGAAGGAAGGGGACTTTGCTGAAAGCCAGGAGTAAGGAGAATGGTGTCCTTGCTAGGGGCAAGGATATTTGATCACTGGGGGCTCTCTGGATAGAAGGGAGGGGGGAAGGGTCTGAAGTGAAGCCAGTCAGCATTACTGGTCTTGCCCAAAGTCAGGAGGCAGCTCAGAAGGGTGTGAGAACAGAGGTTCTGCCCTCATTCATTCACCTGGCCTCACCACCCTCCCCAGCCCAGGGAAGCGTTAAGGAAGATTTATGGGAGGCCATGGGTTGGGACTGAGCTCCTGCACTAGGCCCAAGAAACGACACCAAAGTGGAGTCTCCCATGCTGAAGTCCCAGGCCACCAAGCTGAAACCAACTTTATCTGACCTTCCAAGAAGTCAGGATAAACAGAGATAACAGCAAATCCCCAAACAGGCCAGTTTTAGCTGGCATGGTAATGAAGTTTCTTCTGCTTTAACCTTTACAAGGGAAGTAACTTTGGAACAACCAATCTATTTTTTGTTCCCTGTTTCTGCTTTCCTCAGCCCTTTTCTGTCTATAAAGCCAAACTCCTCTTCTCAACTCATTGGAACACTCATTCTATTTTATAGAACAAGGTGTTGCCTGATTCTAGAATCGCCAATGAAGGTCAGTTAAGATCTTTAAACTAAAATTTGTTGTAATTTTATCTTTTGACAGAGTCTATGTGCTGGCTCCACAGATCCAGAAAGTGTTTTTCGGCAGAACGCCCGCAGCACCCACAATCGCTGCTGTGACACCTGCCTCCCGGCCCAGGGCTGCCACCGTGATTCTCTGCAGAGTCCAGTGGGGACAAGAGACAAACAAACACAAACAGCTGACCCTCCTGTGGCCCAGTTTCTAAGATGAGGCATCTAAATGCAGCCTCTCCAGAGCAGGTCCGGCCGGCGCGGGCCCTGCCTGGGGCCATCTGGGTTCCAGGCTGAGCAGGATGATGAACTCCCAGAGGGATATTTGGGGCTTCACTGTATTTCACACCAGAAGCCAGTCTCAATGTGACTTTGTGGATAAAGAAAAACAATCCTGACGGGCAGTCCCTGCGTTTTTCTCCCACTTCACGCCCCTACGTGGCTGACCACACTGGTGGGAGTGCCCATGGGGGGTCAGTATCGACCGTTATGCTTACGTCCCTCCTTAGCCACGGGAGCATCCAGGGCACGGAACGCTGACAAGCAAGCAGTGACGCTGTGGCTCTAGTGCCCGAAGGGGGTGCTGGACCTGGGGCAACCTTAGCGGTCACTTACTCAACCCTCGTTTGTCCAAAGGAAAGGAATGAGACAGGGAGTCGAGGGGTTGAGAGAAAAGCCTCTAGATGTTAATAGACTAGGGCCACTGTAGTCTTTTGAGGTTTCTCATAGTTTAAAACAAAAGAAGCAATTCAAAAAATGAGAATCATAAAAATTGTGGAATATTTTAAATGTTTACATTTTATAAATTAAAACTTTTTACAGAAAAAATGCAATGTAATATATTTTAATGGTCACAAAATCTAGAAAAATATTGATTCATAGCCATTCTATACTACAGGCAGTGCTGCATAGTCAGGGATCTCAGTTTAAGGTTGGACAATGAATGCCTTCTCCCTTCACACCTGTACCTTTGGAACTGTATGAGTCATTTTATTTGGAGGCAGGGTCCAAAGTCTAATTTGAGGCCTTGGTGAATGTAGAGGCCAGCCTGTTCGTCTGCCTTCTTTCTCTCTTCTGAGCTCTTCTGGAAACCAGCTTTGTGATCCTGACCACTCATGTCTTCATCAGGGTAGAGGACCTAACTTTGCATTTTTGGCAATCTTGAATTTGCTATCTTGCTGAAGGCCTGCTTGCTTAAAACACATAAAAAATCAAAATTGTGATTTCTTGGTGGAGCCGCCAGTGAATCAAATTTAGGGGCAAAGCAAAACTCCCGCTCACAGCAACGGCTTGGTGCTGTGGCAGCCGCGCTGGGACGGCCCCGGGAGCCCGCCTGCTGTGTGCCCTGGATGGCTTCTGCAGTGGTGGGGCCGGCCTTGCCCCCTGCAGGGTCTGTGGAAATGAGGAGGTGTGGCTCCCCAGTGCAGTGGTTGGGATGTTTGTCCCCTCCAAATCTCATGTTGAAATTCCACCCCAGTGTTGCGGTGGGGCCCAACAGGAGGTATTTGGGCACTGGGGCAGATCCCTCATGAGTGGCTTGGCGCTGGCCTCTGGGTCAGGAGTGGGCTGTCACTCGATTAGTTTTCTCCAGAACTGGTTGTTTCAAAGCGCCGGGCACCTCCCCGCTGCTCTGTCTTGCCTCTCCCTCACCGGGAGGTCTCTGCGCACGCCGCTCCCTTTCACCTTCTCCGGTGAGCGGGCGCAGCCCGGGCTCTCACCAAATGCCCGGCCTTTCAGCCTGCAGAACTGGGAGCCAAATAAACCTTTTCTCTGCACACATTGCCCAGTTTCAGGTGTTCCCTTACAGCAACGCAAGACAGACTAAGGCACCAGGCTACGTCAGAAAAGACATTGTGACATCCCACCTGAGTGGGGGAGAAAGAGTAGTATCTTTTCCTCACCCATTGCAAGGTTCATGACTGAGGACCCTGTGAAAAAAGATGGGTTAACAAGAGAAAAGCAAACAAATTTATTTAATGTAAGTTTTATGTGACATGGGAGCCCTCAGAAATGAAGATCCAAGGAAATAGGTAAACTTGTACTTTTTTATACTAAGTTTGGTGAAGAAGTAGACAGTTGTGGGTTGGAGGATGAAAGGCTATGCCCTAATGACAATCAATGTGGGGGGACTTAGCAGGGCCTATTTGTTCAGATCCTTGCTGGCATCTCTGTGTCTTTGAAGATAAGGACGTTCCCTTCCTTTGGGCATAGCGGGGCAAGGGGGCCTTATCACCTACTTCAGAGAGGAAAGCCAGAGAATTCTCTTATGGCCCGCTCCAGGGAAAAAGGGCACGAGGTGAGTCAGAGAGACCTTCATATTCTGCAGTTTTCTCAAATGTTAAGGTGCCACATGTGTCCTGAACCCCATCACTGACTATCTCTTGCATCATACGCTGTGAGTGAAGCCAGCCACGGTGTCCTGAGGACACTCAGGTAGCCCGTGGAGAGGCCCCAGTGGGGAGGAACTGAGCGTTCCTACCAGCAACCAGCACCCACTGTGAGTGAGCCACCATGGCAGTGGGTTCTCCATCCCAGTCAAGCCTTCAGATGACTGCAACCCTAGCCAGCTTGACTGGAACCTCACGAGAGACCTTGTAAGGGCCTGATTGCACCCCAAAGCTGCTGGCTCACTTGTGCGAGCCCGGATAACAGAAAATGGGCCCAGGGGAGGAGTAATCGGCTCCTGGAAACTGCTAGCTTGGGGCCCAAAGGTAGAGCTATCGGCTAAACGCATATTTCTGCTTCTGAGAATCGCTTGCTTGCAGCTGGACGCATAGGTATGGGGCCAGATAAGGGAGAAAGCCCCCTTTGCCGCCGGCGGGCTACCAGTCCACCAATCATTTTAAAGACTAACACGCACAATCAGCTTGTACAGCGCGGGTGTTCAAGAGGGTGGGGGGATAAAAGGGGAGCCCCAGCTTTGGTCAGGGTCCTTGCCTGTAAGAGCGGCCACTGCGCTGGCACTCTAGGGCCTGGACCCTGGCTAGCCAGAAAATAAAGCTCCTCTTGAGTGATTGCATCCTTGGTGTCTTTGTTCGTCTGCCTGGCGGGGTGCAGGAAGCCGGTCCCTAACAACCTGAACTAGAACCTCCCAGCTAAGCTGCTCCCAGAGTCCAGAAACTCAGAAACGGTGTGCAATAGCAAATGTTTACTGTTGTCATAAGCTGTTCAGTTTGGGAGCATTTGATATTCAGCAATAAATGACCAATATTGTCATTTTACAGAACATACATACTAAACGGCCAACCTGGGCCTCCCAGGTTATTGCCTGTAGTCATTCTCCACCTTGTCCGCACCTGGCGTGGTGTCTGAAATTCTTGCATTTGAAGGTCATTCTCTTCTGGACATCAATTTTCCAGTAGTGTCATCTTGAAAGGCAAATAGCGCTGTATGTGCTTTATGCTAACCCTTAAACTGCTAGGAGCCTACCCCGGAATGGACATTAATCATAACCGGTTGAGAGGAGAGTACTCCTGGGAGATTGGACTTGTGCGTATAGGTGGGAACAAACTTTGGCTGTTGATTAGAAAATACCGGAGTGTAGATTTAGAGTCAGGGAGTCCAGCTAGAGCCCTTGCTCCAGTTATGATGTGATCACGGGTAGGTGGTGTAACCTCATGAACTTTAGTGTTCTCATCAGCTTGATGAGAATAATGAAAGTAGCTAACTTATAGTCCCCCCACCCTGTCCCCAGCCCCCGTGAGAATAAGCAATGATAAGACATTTGAGAGCACTTTATAAGCCAGAAAGATTTACATAAAAGTTAGCTTATTTAACAAAAAAGTCAGTTTCCCAGGGTGGGAATATGTGGGCTCTGCCTCCATTTATTAAGTGCCTTTTCTATGCCTTGCACTATTAAGATCGAGGATATACAAATGAATGTTTCCTATCCTCAAGGGGTTTGCAGAACTGGGAGTGATAAATAAAAAAAACAGGCAATTACTTTACATGTAGCAAGTGCTAAGCACAGGGTAATTGACTCCGTCCTTTATCAAACATTTATGGAGTGGCTTCCCCCGGGAGTCGGTGTGCTGGATGCTGCTGCCACGCCCACAGGGACCAGCAAGCCCAGGGAGAAGGCTGCCAGCGGGAGGCGTCACTGAGCTGAGTCACAGAGCTTGGGGAGGGGACAGTCTACTGGAGTTCGCGGCTAAGGGTACTGCAGGCCTGGCTGACCCGGAACACGTGTAGCCAGCTTACACGGGGTCAGCAGTGTGCCGATGTTCCGAGTGGCAGTGTCTGTCAACTCCCGATTACTCTGCAGCGTGATCTCAGCCCAGCCGTCCTGGCTCTGCATGCTCATGGGCTCCTGTGCATGGTGTGTTACTTAGAGAATACCAACTAGCTTAAATATTAGCCCAACTGATAATTAGGTTAATTAAGCTAATAATTACGAGGATGGATTTATTGCACAGGAAGTCATCCAGGGTATGCCAAGGCCAATTAAAATTAAAATTAACTGCCATTTGGGGTTCCCTGTATCTCTGACCCTGCTATTGGCTCAGACCATCCATCCTTGACTGTGCTCATGAAGGAAAACCCTCTTCCTTCATGCTCACGTCTGCTGCTCAGACCTGACAGCTGCGGAGAGGGCGGAGAGAGAGCAGGTGTCCTGTGGGGTCACAAGCCTATTATCTGACACAGAGAAATGTCTCGTCTTCAAATGAGCAAAGTAAAAGATCAGCTGAGTTCATTTCCTCATCAAGATGGATGATTTCCAAGTATTGAAACTGAACTTGATGCTTAAAATCCATTTCCTTGCAAAACCCAGGCCTGGCAACATCTTCTTCCTCTGCTGCTGTACCCAGCCCTCAGCGACATGTGAGATGCGCTCCCTGAGAATGGGTATTTAATTTGATTTCCAGGATAATGTATCCTCCAGAGGTGCAGAATCCCCTAAGGGGATAAGATGGGCTTATTATTCACTGGGTAGAGTTATCCAGACACTCTCAAATACAAGATGGAACAGAAACAAGCCACATAAATGGGTAGTAGGAGTCTATACTTTTGCCTAAATGAGAGACTCACTTCTTGGAAGGATTGCCCTTTTGGGCAGGAAGCCCATGGACTTTGTGTCACTCCTGCTGGTCTCTTACGAAGAAGTCTCTTCTGGCTTTTGTACTGGCTGACCGGCTGTGCTCCAAGGCATTTCAGCTTAGGACAATAAAAGGAATATGAGCCTTCCTGCTGTCGGGGAGGAAAGGAAAGGACCTTAGCCTCTCTCTTTGGGCTGGCCCATTTCAGAGCTGCCCAGGTCATGGTGCAGGTCACATATGGGCCTCACCCCAGCCCAGCTCTGGGCTCCCGCTCAGGCCCAGATCAGCTTGTCTCACTCCCTCGGTCATGGCCGGAAGCCCAGGAACTCCAGCCCTGGGCCTCCCTTCCCTGGGCTCGTCGTGAAGGGCAGTGCTTCCCGCTCAGTTTCCTCCCTCCTCTTCACTCCCAGAAGGACAAGTATCCAGGTCCCCTTTGCTTTGAGTCATTTGCTGTGGCCCTCAGTTTTTATTCCTGAGCGTGTGACTCAGCTGACGCCAAGACACTGGCTCTGTCACTGCTGGATGATTCAAAGATGCTTTGCCAGTTAAGTAAACAGAACCTGGGGACTAACACGTGGGAAAAGGTAACTGAAGGAAATTTCAAGGTTCCTGGCAACTGAGTGCAGTGGTACATTTTTAGCTATAAGGGATCTAAGAAGGATGAAGGCATAGTAGGGAAGTTTTTTGTTTGTTTGTTTGTTTTAGAGACAGGGTGTCTGTCACCAGGCCTAGAGTGTAGTAGTGTCATCATAGCTCACAGCAACCTCAAACTCCTGGGCTCAAGCGATCTTGCCTCAGCCTCCCAAGTAGCTGGCACTACAGGTGCATGCCATCACACCTGGCTAATTTTTTTTTTTTTTTTTTTTTGGTAGAGAGGGTCTCACTCTTGCTCAGGATGGTCATGAACTCTTGGCCTCAGGCAATCCTCTTGCCTCAGCCTCCCAAAGTGCTAGGATTACAGGTGTGAGCCACTGCGCCTGGCCTAGTGGGGAAGTTTTAAGAAGTTTGTAGATGTGGTGGGACTGGAAGTTAAAGGGGTTCTGATTAATAGTCTTTTGATTTTTGCAGCTAAATTATATCTGGATAATTTACACGACTTTTTAGGATGAGATTATTAAATTTGGTTTTGGAAATATTTAATTTGAGTATGCTTGCCTGCACTTGAGAATTAGAAACTTGGACTGGAATATAATCTGTGAGCCTTCCATTAATAGAGGGAGCTAAAGGCATGGGTCTGAACAAGATCACAAGAATATGAGTCCTGAAAAGAGAAGCAAAAAGAAGACTGAGGATGGATCCTGGGGGAGAAGACTGAGTGTCTGAAAAGGAGCAGAAAAGAGGGAGAAAAAGAGAAAGAAATAGAAAAACATGCTGTCCTGGAAGATAAAGGAGGGGAAGATTTAAGGAGCCAAAGGCTAAGAGTATAAAGTGATGGAAGAAAAATTAAGTAAGGTCAAAGTGAGAAAATATCCATTGCATTTGGTGTTTAGGAAATTTGGAGAACATCCCAGTGATTTCAGGAGGTAATGAGAAGTAAAAAAATGCACTAGGTTAGCTGAGAATACCCAAGACAATCTTGAATAAGAAAAATAAATCTTTTAAATAAATAATGCTGGGCCAGGTGGATAACCATATAAAAATTAACTCTAGATTTCTTGTATACCAATTTTAAAAATCAATCACAGACACATAGTAGGTAAAATAATGAGGCTTTTCAAAGACAATTTAGGATAATGTCTTCATGACCTGGATGTAGGCAGATATTTCTTAAATAGGGCACAAAAGCTATTAAACATTGAAAAAAATCATAAATTGACCTACGTTAAAATCAAGAGCCTCTTTTTATCAAGAGACATTATTAACAGAGTGAAGAGGCAAGCCACAGAGTGAGAGAAAATATTTGGCATACTTATGTCTAGTAAAGAACTTATATCCTGTATATATAAAGAACTATATGCATCAATAAGAAAAAGAGAACCCAATAAAAATATGGGCAAATACCATGAAAAGGCACTTTACAAAAGAAGATAGACAAATGGCTCACTAAACATGAATAGGTGCATAACAATTTGCAGTCAGGGGATTGCAAATTAAAGCCACAATGAGTATCTTTCACTATACACATACTAAAATTGCTAAAACTAAACACACTGAAAGTACCAAGTATGTGGAAGAACTGAAATTCCCTTACTGAAATTATCTTACACTGCTGGTGAAAGTGTGTATTAATATAACTAGTTTGAAAAACTGCTTGCAGTGTTTTCTAAAGTTGAACAGAGAGAAAAGTAAAGTTGAATGTGAATACAGATAAGTTTGTAGGTGTGATATGGACTGGAAGTTAAAAGAGTTGAGTCTTTTGATTTTTGCATATAAGCTTTATCGGATCAATTTATTGGCCTTTTTTTTACTACCTATAAAAGTCTTTCAGTTAACTCTTTTGGATTTTCTGGATAAAGAATCATGTTATTTAGAGGTAATTACAATTTAATATACTATTAGCCAATATTTATACTCCTAATTATTTTTCTTGTCCTACTGCATTGGCAAGGATGTGAAAATGATATTGACTAGAAACATTATTAATGAGTATTTTATTTTAGTTTTTTACTCAAGTGGGAAAGTTTCAAATGCTTCACTATCAAGCATGATGTTTGTTGTAGATTTCTGTTGGATGTGCTTCAAATAATGAAAAAGTTTATTTAAATTTCTACTTTTCTAAGAGTATTTTAAATTAAAAATGGATATGGAATTTTATTAATGCCTTTAATCATCTATTGAGATGACATGAAAGGTTTCTCCTTATGCTATTAATATGATAATTTGCATTACTGGATTTTCTGTTTTAGTCACCCTTGTGTTTTCAAAATAAACTCAGCATGGTCATAGTGACCATGGTGTATAAGTATGGTGGATTAAATATTTTATTATTTTGTTTCATTGAAATTTTATTGGTTTGATGTTCCTCTGTTTTTGCTACCCATGTCCAGCTTTAGTATCATAATTATACCTGCTTTATGAAATGAATTGGAAAGTATTACCTCTACTTAAAGATAGAGTTAACTCTTGAGTTAAAATAACAGAGAAACTATCTGTCTTTGAAAATTTCTATAGAAGTTATCTTTAAAACTGTCTGATTCTAGTCCCTCTTTTGGAGGGTAGTTTAAATTAAATAAAAAAATCAAAGTATCTTTTGATGAATAAAATATTTAAGTTTTGATGGTGTCTAATTTATTGACTTGTTTTCTTTTATGTTTAATCTTTTTTGTATACTCTCTAAGATGCTTTCCTGCTACAAGTTTTCAAAGATATAGTCTTATGTTTTCTTCTAGAAAATTCATAGTTTAAGCATTTATGGTCAAATCTGTAGCATTACTTCTTGTACTTGGTTTGAGGTAGAATTTGATGTTTATTTTTTCATATGTTTGTCTAGTTCCAGTGCCATTTGTTGACAAGATTTCCTTTGAATTTCTGATACTTTTATTGATAAATGTATGGGTCTATTTTCATTTTCTCTATTTTGTTTCATTGATCAATTTGTCTTTCTTCTAGACAATACTAGTCTTAATTACTGTAGCTTCATAGTAGCTCTTGAAATCAAAGAGTATGAGTCATCCAACATTGTTTTTCTTTTCTATGTTGTTTTTGCTAGGACCTTTGTACTTCCATATACAATTTAGAATGAAGTTTTGAAATTATACAAAAAAAGTTGATGGGATTTTAATTGGATTTTATTGAATCTGTTGGTCATATTGGAGAGATTTGATATCTTAACAACATACTCTTCTAATTTATGAACATTGTATTTTGATTTATTTACATTTTCTTTAGTTTCTCTCAGCAATGTCTTGTAGTTTTCAGTGCCAAGTTTTTGCATGTCTTTTGTTAAATTAATTCTTGAGTATTAGTTGTTTTTTGATGCAAAACATGTAATTATTTAAAAATTTTATTTTGCAATTGTTTGTTGCTAGTATACAGATAAGTAATTGGTTTTTGTATAGTGACATATTCTGCAACTGTGATAAATTTAATTTTTAGTTCTCCTAGCTTTTGTAGATTTCTCTGGATTTTCCACATAAATGATCAGCTCATACATAAAGACTATTTAATTTCTTCCTGTCCCATTTGCATGACTTTTACTTTTTATCCTTGCTCTGGTTAGGACCTCTAGTGCAATGTTGAATATAATTAATGAGAACAAACATAGCTGCCTTGCTTCCAATTTTACCATTAAGTATGGCATCACCTTCAGGCTTTTCAAAGATTCCCTTTATCAGATTGAGAAAGTTCTCTTCTGTTCATATTTTGTGAAAAGTTTAAAAAAAATAAATAATTGTTGAATGCTGCCAAAGGAATTTCCTGCCTCTATTGAGATGATCATATTTTTTCTCTTTTATTCTGTTAATATGGTGAATTATATTGATTCATTTTTAAATATTAAATCTACCTTGCATTCTTTGTATAAACTCTACTTGGGTTGTGATGTATCATTCTTTTTGTATATTTCCATATTTGATTTGCAAATATTTTGTTAAGGATTTTTGTATCTGTTTTCATGAGGATATTTGCCTATTGTTTTCTTTTCTTGTAATTTATTTGTCAGATTTTGGCATTAGGATTATGCTTACCTAATGTAACAAGGTGATAAACATTCCCTTGTATTTTTTGAAATAGTTTGTGAAAGGTTAGTATTGTTCCTCCCTTAAATGTTTGACAGGATTAATCAGTAAAATTGTATGGGTTTGGAGTTTTCTTTGTTGCAAATTTTTTTTGTTATAAAATTTTTGATCATGAATTCAACTTTAATAAATATAAGGCTATGCAAATTTTATTTTTGTGTGTGTGTGAGCTTTGGTAAGTTGTATTTTTTAAAGAATTTTTCCATTTCATCTAAGTATTCATATTTGTTGGTATGAAGTTGTTATACTATTTCCACAGGGAGCTTTGAACATCTGTAGGATCTGTACTGCTACTTCCTTGATTAGTTGTTTATTGCTGCATAACAAATTACCTTAGGATTTTGTGGTTTAATGCAATAAGAATTCATTATTTCGCAGTTCTGTGGTCAGCAGTCTCGGTGGTCCTGCTCAGAGTCTCTCCGGTGGCTGCAGTGGGGGTGTCAGCAGCGCGAGGGGCACCTGAAGGCCGACTGCTCGGGCTGCAGGACCTGCCTCCACGTCGGCTCCCTCACGTCACCACTGGCAGGAGGCCCCAGCTCCTCGCGACTTGTTGGCAGGACGCCACTTGGCCTCACGTAGACTGTTTCAATGTTCGCCACAGTGAGTTAGCCACCAATGAGTAAGGAGAAAGCAGGTGCTTTTCACGACCTACTCTGAAGTTGCGCACTGTTGCTTCTGCCTTATCCTATTCACTATGTCACTAAGTCCAGGCTGCAATCAAAAGGAGGACACACTCCTTTGGAAGGGAGAAATAGCAACTAATTTATGGACAAATATTTAAACCATCATGATCTACCTACTGGCTATGAATTATTTACTCTACATTGCCCCCAGATGCAAAATACACTTACCCCTCCCAACGTCCCACAAGGCTCACTCCATGTCAGCACCAGCTCAAAGTCCAAACCCCGTCAGCCTCAGGTTCAAAGGAAACTCCTTATATGGCTCCTTAGGTATAACTATAACTCTGAATATAGGGCCTCTCGCTCTAAAGGCCTGAGCATGAAAGAGACAAGTTGTCTCCAACTCTCCCTACTCCCCAGGCAAACACGCATACGATGGTGAGACAGCAATAGGGTAAGTGCTGCAGAAATTCCAGTTCAAGAAAGGAGAACATAAGAGGCACAAAGTAGTCACTGTTCCGTAGACATCCTGAAATCCAGCCAAGCGATTGTTTGTAGTTCCTCAATTAGGACTCAGTCCTACTCATTCCGAGACTTACTCTCCATGTTTTCAGGTCTTCCCTCCAGGCTGTCGTTTCCATCTTAGGAGTCACCTTTCTTTTTTCCTGAAAGGCAGCATGTGGCCATGGCTGAGTAGTCTCTGTAGCCTGTTTCCTGATAGAATTTTGAGGATCCCAAAGTCTCTCTCCATTTTCTACTGTCTCTGTCTCTCAGTGCAAGATGGCGTGTTTCTGTGCATATAATTCCTTTAAAACTTTGTCCATGTCCTGAGAATCTCATTGAGATCAACTCCGTCAGACAGAAGTTACACTCGCAAATCTCTTTGAAATAAGCGCTTCTCTGCCTTGGGGTTTTCCTGAGGGACAACACCTGCAAGCTTCTTAGAAGCCCTATCGTTTGTTTCAGAGGATCTGTTAGAACACTTTTAAAATCGTTAGGGGTCTTTTTCTGACTGAATGGTATGCTGAAGTACTACCTTTTATTTTTTATTTTATTTTTTTACCACCTTTTATTACTCTGAGATTTTAACAAATTTTTACAGCCATATCCTCAGCTTCATTTTGATGTGATGTTTTCCTCACAGTGCCCTGGATTTGCTCTTTACTCAGAATCGGTTCTCAATTTTAGGGTCCTTTGCTGTCTAGCAAGTTTGAGCACTTTCAAAACTTCTTCATGTGTAACAGTCCTTCCTTTAGTATATCTCTCCCCTCTTGCAATTTACTATAAATACTGTAAGCACTTTGCTTGTTCAACTAGATCACCCAGTTCATTGAGTGATCAAAAATCAAAAATATATATATTTTTTAAAGATGGGGTCTCACGATGTTGCCCAGGCTGGACTTGAACTGTTGGGCTCAAGCAATCCTCCCACCTCCAGAATCGCTGGAACCACAGGTGTGTGCTATCATACCAGGCTGGGTTGTGTACATTTTTTATTTTTTACATTACTGCAAGTGGCAGTGTTGCTAAACTTTCCATCCACTTTTAAAAAAAGATTCCCTTTTCTCCAATTTATACCAGTCAAAAAACCATATGAAATTTTCATGTTTGTAGGTTAAAAAATGTCTGAATATCAGAAAATTTAATGTAGTTCAGCCTACTAGCTACCCCCTTTCTGTTAAGTTTTGTGAATGGGAGGAATTACTGATAGTTGGCTTCTCTTTAGCAGATTCTTAACCTTGGTTGTACCTAGAATCACCTGGGGGAGTTTAAAAAACCCCAACGCTCAGGCTGTACTGCAGAGCTGTGAGACCAGACCCTCTGGGGGTCGACTCAGCCCGCACTAGTTTCAGAAGGCCACAGGTGACGCCATTGTCTGGGGATGCTCGAGGATCATGGATTAAGGTATGCATGTAGCGTGCTTTCTGGAATTAGAGCTGCCCTAACGTTGCCGTAGCCATAACTTACCTGGGATGTTACTCTGATTCCTCAGACCTAAGACCTCAGACTTACTTGAAAGTCAAAACTCGAAGGTTAGAACTTCCATTTTAGAGTACAACAATTTCTTTTTTGGGACAGAGTCTTGCTCTGTCATCTGCCCCAGCCAGAGTGCAATGGTGTCATCACTGCTCACAGCAACCTCAAACTCCTGGGCTCAAGCATTCCTTTTGCTTCAGCCTCCCGAGTAGCTGGGACCACCCATGCCCAGCTAATTTTTCTATTTATTTGTAGAGACTTGTTTCAATCTTGCTCAGGCTGCTCTCAAACTCCTGGCCTCAAACCAATCCTCCTGCCTTGGCCTCTCAGAGTGCTAGATTACAGGCATGGTGGCTTACCTAGGGGACAATATTTGAAATTCGTTCTGAAGTAAGCACTGGAATAACTTGTTCTGAAAGTTGGAAATTAGAACACTGTCCCATTACCCTGTGATTAGTTAATTTCCCTTATTTCATCACCTGATGCTTATAATTTCAAGGTTTCTCTGGGGTACCAATGGAAAATTTACATTTTTTTAAAAAGAGCTTTCCTCTTTCATCTGCCGGATTTGTGGCATCCTAAATTTTGTGGGCTTTGTTGCCGATCTTTTTCCTCTTACCTTTCTGAAAATTCTTCAGGTTATACAGTGCTAGTTAGCTCCTTTCTTAATTTTCCAGCAGTGTTATGGATTTGTTTTTAAACTTCTTTTGTCATTTTGGCGATTATGGAAGAGAAGAGAGGCAATGTTTTGTATTCAGTCTGTTAATGTTTATTGAGCACTTATATGTGCCCACTCCTTTTTTAACAGCTCTATGTCTATCAGATCACTAACCTAATGTATGAGAAAGCTGTCATTATCGCCTTATTTCATAGATGAGGAACCCAAGGCCCGAGACAGGTTAATTAACTCCCCCAAGGTCATGCAACAACCAAATGATTGAGTTTTGATTCAAACCCAGGCAATCTGGCTCAACAGTACATGTTCTTACCCACTACACATACGTCCTTTCTGATATTATAATGCCCAGTCTTAGGTGCACTTTGAGAAAGGCTGGGGTAGAGCAGGGAACTTGGGGCATGCTGAATGTTCGCTATAACTGCTATGAGGAAGGAGAAAGAGAGAGCTCTCTGGGGACAAGGGAAAGACTGCCGCCACACAGAGAGTGCAGGCGAGGCACTGTGACTTGGCCTTCTGGTTCAGGTCCCTCAGGGCTGACCATATTTCTAGAAGGGAAGTGAGGCAAAGTCTCCAGAGCTGCTCTCTACTTTGCAGTTCCTTAAAATAAACCTACAGATCTTGCTTTCAGGGTTATGTTTTTTGTATGGTTTTATTTTGCCTTACAAGTCCTATTCCTGGTACTTAAGAAAAGGCAAGGAGAAAGGGGCTGGAGGTTTTTTGTTTTGTTTTGTTTTAAATAAAAAACTTGTGAGAATCAAAAAGGTTCTGGAACCTTATAGCATTCTTATAGAAAATCCTCCTGTTTCTGAGTCTTTTCCTCTTTTAGTAGCTGGAAGCCCTGACAGCTCCCTGTTTTTAGTTCTTTTTTAATTCCTAAGGGTGGAACTTATGAAAACTTCTCTCTCCTTCAGTCTGCTGGCTTTTTTAAGCCAGCAATTTAAAAATGTCAAGAGCACAATTATTTTTCCAGGCAAAATTTTACTCAGTATCCCAATACATAAAACACATAACAGCAGTACTTTGGAAGTATGGCTTTATTCCATAAATTATTCCATAATTATTACAAAGTCAGTCAAAAAGAATACTGAGGCTATTTTGATGAACTTAAAAACTAGAAATCATGATTGTGGCTGACATTTGCTGTTTGATACAAGTCTCAATGTCCAATTTATTTCTATAATCTTTTTTGGACATACAAGATCAAAAAAATCCTGATTCTAACAGATGAGTAGCTTACCTTGCAGTCTCAAGATTCTCTTCAAGCAAGCTGATCTAAAATCATTAGAGAGGATTTGCAGGACTTTTTTTGTTTCAAAGTTATATTGCCAACAATATCTAACAACTAGCTTACTTCCTTATCATAAATATAAAGTCAGTCAATAAACATCTCATGCTTATAACAAGTGCTAAGCTTATCAATTTTATGACAGTAACATGCTAAAATGTGTTCTGATTTTACTTGTCATGGCATGTTAATTATAGCTCAGTGCAGGCTGAATAAATGTGTCTGAACCTCGTTCATGGCTATGTATAAGTGTCTAGGGAAGAGCCTACAATCTTGTAGGCATAAAATAAACGTTCGGTGAATGAATGAATGAACCAACCTTGCCTGTTATCTCATTAGGTATTAGATTATATCTACATTTTTATTTTTAGTTTTTGATTTTCACTTGTGCATGTTTGGATTTTAAAAAGATTTTAGTTCAGAGCTATACCCATCATATTCACTGACTCATTTATAAAACTTTCAAATATATCCACAGATCTGGCAGTAGAAGCTCTTCTCCAAGGTCTGCCTCAAAATAGCTAATAAGCCAGTATTGGTTGTCTTCAATATATCAAATTTAGCATAGAGCACATTTCAGATTATGTTGATTCTTACAGCTTTGAAATTACTTGAAATGGAATCCAAACATCTGTGGAACCCAGAGCATGCCATGGAACTCAGGTACTCCTGAACGCCAAGGAGGGTCGTTGGAAACCACTCCCAAAGCTGATGTAGCCACTTCCTCCAGGAAGCCCCTGTCTCCAGCATGCAGCTCTGAAGAACACAGATCCTGAGTGACCACTCACGTGTCCTGCCTGGTATGGAGAGGTTGCCCATAGCTCACTGAAACCATAACAATTTCCATGACTTTTTTTTTTAACCTCTCTCTATGTGCCAGGCATGGTCTAAGAACTTTACATGTATTTACTCACTTAGTTCTTTAAACAAAACCCTATTCAGCAGGTATTATGATTGCCAGCATTCCCATTTGGCAGCTGGAGGAGCCGAGGTAGAGAAGTCACACGCTGGCAGATGGCAGAGCAGGGCTCTGTCCCGTGGGTCAGCGCTGACGTCTGCACACAGGACTGCCACCCCACGCTGACAGGCGACGGGGCCTCCTGAAGCCACCTTGTTGGGCTTCACAGTAAAAATGTAGCGCCTGAGAGTCACTTTTATATTTATGTCTTTATTTTGACTTCAACAATTATAATGATAAGGAGGCAGTTAAGACATATTGGTTCAAGTGATAT